TGAATTGGACACAAGAAACAGATTTGGCTGCAGATGCAGTGCAGAACCATCCTTGTTTGAACCCGTGGAAGATCCTCCAGCGCCGGATATATCTCAATGCATCTTCTAGTCTTCTGCTTAGTTATCACACTGATAATCCTAAAACTGTGAAAACAGACACTATCCTTAATTGGTTTGTATCATATCTCTGAAAAACGCATAGTTTACCGTCACTTTGGAGTGTAATTTGATGTCTTTTTTTAATGAATGCTATTGCAATATTGGGCTAGAGCCTCAATGCTACTGATGACATCTAATCTTTGTGACAGCTTATTTTGCAGGCTGACTTCTCTTGATCTCCCACACTGATATGCAGAGTGTAAATGTTTGAATGTTTTATCGCACAAGTGAAAACGGGAAAGACAGAGGTTTAAAAATATGCGCTCAGTTGCAGTAGGCATTGGATTAATTATACAACGATTCAATAATTGCAGTATATTTAAATATTAAAAAACATTATGAACATTTAAAGTGAATGAGTTAGGAAGATCATTAATGGATAATGAGCTTAGGAATATACGATGTGTTATGTGTTAGTGCTTTGATAGGATCATAAATCCTATACACTTTTTATTTGGTTAACGGGAGCTTCACAAGGTCGCCTCATACCCTGCTCTAATTTTTAAGTCCGACCTTGTGTTGGCGTGTGTGTATGTGTGTGAGTGCGTGTGCATGTATATGTAATAAAGAAGAATTTCACTTAGTGTGGAGACATATCCTGGCAAATCCACAGCCCAAAACACACAAGCAGTAAGTTTCCTTGACCTCAAATGTTGTTAAAATATTCACGAGTACAAAATATTGTTTCTTCCTCTTGATTTTACCTGATTTTCAACCTTCTTTTCTTCCTTTAATCTTTTTCTCTTGTTAGCCCACAGACTGTGTTCTGTAGTACCACAGGAGTTCTGTCGTCTGCAGAACAATTATGTCAATTATCTCGCATTTAAATGGTTTCCAGAGAGGAGTTCCTTGGCTAATAACAGTCAAATGAAGTGACAACTAACCAATTAATCTCACTCTAATTGCTCAGTAGGTACAGTCAATCAATCATAATGCCCCTCTCTCTGTACTTTCTTCCTTGCTTTCAGCGCACATTTTACACTCGGTAGCTTGGCTCACTACATGTCAATCAAATATTAATTCATCCTTTCGCTCCTGTGGGGATGGAAGTGCATTCCAGTGTGTTGACTTCATGGCTATGCTGCTAGTCAGCACATTTGACTTCTATCGTGACAATGTTTGCTTGAAAATGCTTTATGGGCAAATTAAAAGAGTAAAGCAACAGTAGAGATAGGGAGGCCATTCATTTCATAATTGCATGCTTGCAGCTTTGATCATGTTACATAGACAAACATTAGCTCACTGTTAGTCTATATTTAATAGTCTAAATTGCCAAATCACTGCTCCATATGCTAGAGACCAAGAGCCTTTGAACTGACAGTTTCACAGACTCGAATGTTATGATATATCTTGTGAGATTTACACTATGTGCAGCTTTGCTTTCTGCACCCTTGCACACATGTATCCAGAGCCACAAGCTTGAGTGAAGCACAGAGCTGTGCAGCTAAAATCTGCCTGAGTGCTTTACTGAAATAATTTATTCCGGTGTCATTCCAGAAAAAAAAAGGTCACATTTGCAATTTGCAGCAGTGGTGATGGAAATCTGAAAAACAAACTATTACTGTTTAGTACGTTTAAAAAAGTTGAAAAATGACACTTTAATGTGAGCTTTGTGAGGTTTTTGGGAGAGCTTATTTATGTGGTCAGCATTATGAGGAGGTAGGGTTAGTGAGTGACTCATTAAAAAAAAGGAAACAGCAAAGAATGTGAGCCTGTGTTTTGTCCTAAAGTGGGAGAATCCGCTCACCACTCCAAAAATTTGGAGTTCGTAACATAATGCTGGGTTTCCCTACAAGTAATGCTAGTCAAAAATGGCCATACAAATCTATTGGTTTCTCTGAATCGTATTTTTTTGGCATAACAAGATATTTTCACTGAGCACGTATTTACAATAAAATCCAAGTTTTATTCCAGTCTTATTTATCCTGGCACATTTAATCTCAAGAGCTGCTCATTAAACGTCTGTCTTTAACAAATTCCCATCAGCGAGATGTTAGTCACCTGCACGCTATTAAAACATCACAACATTGAGATAGTCGTTCTTAATTCTCTCATATTAACACTTTACATCAGGTGCATCAGGGTCTGTGAGTGTGTGTCATTCACTACAAGTGCTTGAGTAAAAGTGCTAACAAAAAACTTGCTATTTTAACAAACGGGGATGCCAGTTTATTTCATTTATTCTCCACAAAACTGCACTTTTATTATAAATCATGTTTTGGACACTTTGGATTTTTGAAGTTGTGCCTTGAAGCTACTGCTCACTTATTTTAAATTTCTCAGTCTCCAAATGTTATTGCAATAAATGTGTTTATTGAGTCAAAACTTGTTCAGTGAATGGATATTTTGTTCAGAGTGATCCCACACAAATGCCATAGTGCTGTCTTCTATGGTTAATGTAGTACACCCATAATGTCAGCGCTTATTATACTAGCTATTGATTTTTCAAATTTGCGTCCTTTTGCCCCTTTTGATGTGTATATTCATAGAAATTAGGCATAATTAACTCAACTCAAAACAGAAATTTTGATTAGTAAATGTAAACCCCAGAGGAGCACTCAACAGTCAAGCAGATATCACTGCCAGCAAAGTCCTTGAAACTGCTGTGAACCTCAAATGTTTGCCGTTCACATCAGTGCAACAACACAGTTGATGTGGAATAGGCAGGCCTCCTGCCATATTTGCTGTTTCAGGATTTAGCCTGAAATAACAAAACAGTTCTTAATAGTTCTTAGTTAAGCTCTGCAGGGCCTACATGCAGTATAAAACTGACCGCAGTACTCTGGCATTACATGTAATTAGTTGCTGCCCAGCACTGCCCTCCATGTATTCTGTCAACAACAAATGTATATCTGCAGGTTGTATTAACTGCAGCTATACATGAATTGGCTCAAAAGTCTGAAATTGATAGGGGGGGAAGAAAAATCTGCCGTGTGGGCACGTATGCTTCGTCCCACACTGTCACGGCTCGTGGTGTCAAATGTTGTTTGAAAATATTGTTTTCCCTCAGTGATGTTTAATTGTTCCTCAACCAATTCCCCTTTCCATTCTCATTGCCACCACTAATTAGGAATGGAATTTAACTAGCAATGACTTTAGCGCGGAATCAGAACACACCCAGCCATTATAAAAAACCTAGGGACCCATAATGTGGTGTGGACTTGGCCACTGAAACCATGGGGTGGAGAGACATGAGGAGAGAGCTGCTGCTTCTCTCTGCTGCTCTTTGCATTTTTGGTTCTGGTCTTTGTTGCCATTGGCCTGTCATGAGAAGTTTCTCTCTTCCCATTTTGAAATTGTTTTCTGTTTGTGTTCTTCTGCTCTTCTGGCTTTTTTTTTGTTTTCCTCTCAACATCTCTCCGTTTCTCTCTTGACCTTTAGTGTCACCTCATTCTTTTTCCTCCACCCTCGCTCACATACACACACACACACACGCACACACACACACACACACACACACACACACACACACACACACACACGCTCTTCCTCCTTCCCACTCTCTCCTGCCACAGTAAGACCTAATATGAACTTTTGCTAGGAGCTGAGATCTATTTTATTGCCAGTGTTACTGTGAATGCCTTCATAAATTTAATGCTGTAATGCCTTTGAACAGCCTTCAAGTCCTCAGATTCATAAACACACACGCGCACACACACACACACAGTTGCTCCCATTTTTTCCCACTTTTCTTCATGAACTTCCCAACACATGCACAATCGCACACGCACAGATGTGATGTGTGAATGAGGTCTTTGAGGTTGTTTTTGCTCACATCAGACACAGCAGCCCCAGTGTTTGTTTGCAATTTCCACTGGCTCCGGTCCACTCCACCAAACCCATGGGAATTTGTGGATCAGCATCTTCTCAAAAAGCTCCTGGGCGTCACAGTGTACGAGTGAGCACAGAGCGAGTGCAATGGGTGCAGTGATGCTGTTAGTTTTATGTGGTATTTCAGATGTACTCTATATGCCATAGTTTATGGTAGAATTTAATAGGCAGTGCTGTAGTTTAAGACTGACAGTGTCATTAAATTACTAAGTCACTGCGAAAAAAATGTAAACATATACAGTTTGTCCTTTTCAGTTTCTTTTAGTAAATATTTCATTCTGAGTCCTGCAGAAAGTTAAGAGGCTCTTGAAATTAATTTTGATGTATGTTTCTCTTCATACTTTTGCTATTGGGTTTTACACACTGTATTATTATTCTCACACAATAACACTCAGAATACAGCCTACAAGGCTGTTTTTAACCAGAATATTTAAGGACTGTATAAGCTACAGTGTTTAGCTGCTGTTTAGCTGCTGTAATTTAAGCTAAATATATATACTGTGTAAAAAATGTCAAGACTGGAAGCTAACTACAGTGTTTTATGTAAATGCGGAGCAGATGTTCGTATTGAAGTGCTGTCAGTGTGTAAATAATGTTAAACATACACGGCAGCACAGTAACAGTGAATCATTAGCACCTGCAGCAGGAACATACAGCAAATTTAAAAAATACATAAATAAAATTGAATTGAACTGAACCTGCTGTAGGTTGAAATTAATAATGCACAGTTCAGTAGAGGCACAGTGAGTTTGTTTCATGGGTTGTTTGGCTTGTGATATAGATCATAGGCACTCACATGCATTAGGAGACATGTAAAGAAATCTTCAGAAAGATTAATAAAGGTTTGGCGTTTAGACTTCAAACTCACAGAGAACCGTCTCAGAGATGACGTAAAATCATCTCGTGTAGCACGCCGCATTGTCATTCATAGCCTGGAAGCAGACATCTGAAGCTTTGCGTGTAACTGGAGAGTAACATGTGTAGGTAAACAGTGTTACTGTTTGTTTCAGGTGTGTCAGAGTGAGGCTCAGTGGGAAAGATTGCTGTGTCTCGACAGGAGTGTGAGGGTAAGTGTTATATTTTCTCTTTGTTGTAACTTACGGCAAAGACGTGTCTACGTCTCTCAGTTTTCACCCCCTGTTCTCTTTTCTGCAACCCTGATTATTTTTTTCTGTTGCCTCCCTCTCTCTCTCTCTGTTTCTGTGCTCCTACAGCTGATTGCATAAATAATTTACGGCATGTAAATCCTTAGCAGCTGTTTGCTCCTTTTTGCCCCGTTTGTTCCTGTTTTCTTTCTTCCAGGTTAACATGGGACTTTTCTCAACCTTGTCACCTCTCCTCCCCTCTCTCCCTTTCTGCCTCTGTGCCTGGGGTTAACCTATCTTTCTTTCTCTCTAATTACACTGTTCTCAGTTCCAGCCCTTGTGTCTTCCCATGGGTTTCCATGTCTTTATGTAAGGAGTGGCTTTTTCTTGTATTGATGGGAATTTTGACTTGTAAGTCCATAGCTGTTGTTGTGTATTTGCATGTGGATGTGTGTGTCTTCCACTGTGCGCTTCTGCATGTAGATTGCTGCTCCACAAGACAGCCACCGTGTGGCTTCAGACCCTTACAATCAAGACGCTTATATGGGCTTATTGTGATTACAGTTCTTAGCTGTGCCTATGTACAATTTCGTCTGTCACTCCAGGCTTCAAATCCTCTAAGAAGGATCTCCAATTCAAATTGCGCTGTCAAATTAAGTTTTCTTCTTTTCTGCCGTAGTCCCCTCAATCCATTCCCTAGGTTGGACATGAAGCAATTTTATGTTAAAAAAGAAATAATAATAATACTAAAAAAAAGAGTCGCTCTGCACAAGAGAATCTATCAGAAAATTGCATGAGGCCAAATTCAAGGGGGGGAAAAAAGATGAACAACAAAAGGAAAACTTTACCTTTGGCTCTGTTAAGTCATTTCTTTTCCCCTATTCAATTTCCATTGTTTAAGACTGGGGCTGATCTTTCCAATATTGCTGCTAATCTAACTTCAAAGGGATGCCGGTATGTTAAAACACTTTTTAATTGTGATAAGGAATACGCTTTCATGCTTAAACCCCTTCTCCTCTGTTCGTCTGGACAGAACCCACAAATGCAGAGGCTGTTTTTTCACTCGGCAATTAAAATTAGAATTGGTCACATTTTTCACTGTCAGCCATTTCCTTTGCACACAAAGACATGCGGGCCACACAAGCGTGCGCGTACAGACATATGCAAACCCAGATACTACCATACAATACACATGGTGTTTTTGCTCAGTTGAACCATATCTAAAATAGCTTGCATGAAGACCATTAAAGAAGAAGAAAAAAAATCCTCCTCAAAACTAAAACAACCCTTAAGACCGTGCGGGTCTGGTAGGGCTGATGATTCACCACAAGCTTCCCTGTTACTTCTATGAGACATGCGATGCAGGCTGCGCCTTGTTGTCCAGAGATAACAGATTAACATGATTGCTGAGTGAATCATTTGCACTCTAGTGCTTTTGACATGGAAGATTCTTGAGGCTTTGATACTTGCACAATATTTTGAAGCAGTGGAGCAGTAAGATGTAATTCTGTTGTGACAAAATCAATTTGGATAAAAGCACAATGTAAAAAGCAAGAGTGGCATGAAAATGAAGTATTGGTTACAGCTGATAGGGAAATTGTCTATTTTGCCTCAGAGCTTTGAATATGAGTGCATCTAAAAAAAATTTTCATAAGAAGAGTGAAAATTTGAGGAATGGGAAAAAACAAATATACTGTGCTTGCTGCCCAACCCAGTCACGTGATGGGTTTTTGTGTTTCCCATCCAGGATGCATTTAAATGTACGTCTGTAAATCAAAGCTTTTTTAAATATACATGAAGTGGCTCAGTATTCTCCGAGAATAGTTGTAATCTGGAGAGATGTGTCCTTGTGTCTTTACTTATGGCCCATGTTGAACAGGGACATTTGTCATACTTAAAAATGTAATTTCCTCTGTTGCAGCTCTTCCACACTTATTTATCTAGTCTTATATGATATGTGAAAAAGTGTAAGAGGTGGGTCACTGAATCCTTCTTTTCAAGGTTCATCAAAAACTAGTGACAAAGAGCTGTTTTTTTCCCACTAGAACTCCATGAACAACAGAATCTATCAGTAATAAAAAATACCAGCAATTTATCTGACCCTTGCTGAGCAAGCAAGACACAAACTTGCAGAAATACGGTGTATTACTGCTCCCCCTACAGTCAACTCACAGTTAGACAGATAGCCACTTATATTTGAGTGGTGATGATGTGTCTGTTCGTCACACGAAAGCAGACACACACAGACACACAAAAAAAGTCGGCGCAGTCCTGTGACCACCCACCAAACTTCAGCTTGTACCATCTCCTGTAGGCTGCAAGAATGCTGGAGTGACAAAGGCAGCACTTTGGACAGCTGGCGCAGGTTCAGGTGTGGGCCAATAACTTGCCTGTAGTGGAAAAGTCCTTTTGTGACTTTGCAGTCGAGACAGGCAGCTCTGTTCTTCCCTGCAGCAGCACTCACATTTCACACTCAGTTTGAGCATTTGCAGTATGTCAAAAATCCTGACTGAGTGTTTCGCTGACGTGACTTAGACAAGGATTTGTTTCTGCATTTGAGGAACAAATCACTAGTGACGGCACAGAAGTAGAACCTCCTTGAATCCATGTCCACTCCGTCTAGATTCTTGTTTTTCAGTCTGAACCAGTTATGTGCATGTGCGGTTGTGTATGTGCTTAAATGTGTTCATGTCTGTGCTTGTTTTCCCGTGAGATTTATTTGCATGTGTGACTGCGCGTGTGACCCTGTGTGGCTGCGTGACCTGAATGTGAGTCTACAGTACTCGGCAGAGTGAGTGAGGTCTGTGAATCTGTTTTGCTTTTTTTGGGGTTGTTGTGCAGCATGGCCTCATTACCCAGGTGTTTACCCCTAACCACAGGAAGCTCTTGTCAGTGACGACTGTCTGCCGGCAAACATTGCCTGAGGGAAAGAAAGACAGGGAGGAAGGAACCTAGCAAAAGAGAGACAGTCGAGGGGAGGCATGAGAATCAGAGATGTCTGTCTGTCTGCTTGTCTGTCTGACTATCTATATATCTGTATATACTGTATATGCTCTATATATATTTCTCTAAATGTGTGTGTGGTTGTGCCAGTCAAACCTTCACTGGCAGGTCACTGGGTTCTTCTGTTTCTCCACCAGTGAAGGGAGGGAGGATAAGAGACGGGGAGGGAGAGAGGAGAGGAGGCATACAAGCTGCTGACAGGGATTTATGAGCTGATAGTGTCAGACTGCAAGCACAACAACAGTCTCCCTGTCTCTGCCTGTCTGCTCATGGAGGGAGAGAGTGACAGAAAGAATGGAGGGGGTGGTGGAGGAAGAAGTGAGCCAGCAAAATGAGTTGAAAATGAAAGAGCAGAATAAGAGAGGAAGTGAGCCAGGGAATAAGGCAGGATCAGGATTGGGATGTTATTTTATTTGATTCTTTCTTTGTCGTTTACTCTTTTCCTTTTATCACAATGTGTTTTTTATCTTCACAACCCTTCATTTACTCGCCTTTCAACATCACCTTTGTATGACTTGAATTGACTGTTGCGTTGGCTGATTTTAATTGTTTAGACCAATGATGTGAGTAAGAAACAGAGCGTTTAAGGCTGCTGTTGGTCTTGCATGGCCAAGAAGATGATGATGATGATGACAGTACAAACACTGTACAGAGATGACCAGACATTCATATGCTGGATGGTAACATTTCTTCCATTGTGTTGTTGTGACACATCAGTAGCTCAGATAAAGACGGTGATTATGCGTTTGATAAGCTGAGGCTACTGCAATGAAGTGTGAACAGTTGTTCCATTTTAAGAACTGTGCAGGAATACATGCTAGCACAACTGTTCTTTGTAGTTGTGTGTCTGTGTGTGTATGTGCGTAGAGGAGACAGAGTGACTGTTTAGATATGTCATGGTGAATCACAGCTAAAGTGTTCACTGCTAGATGACACACAGTAATATATAGTAGTTGGACTGTCTGACTGTCTGGCGTATGAGAGATCCATTCTGGAGTTAATTTTGTCTAATTAATGTTGTAGGATAAATCCATAATAGCTGTCTTTATTTTTTTTCACAATATATTCCCATGTGGCTACAGTTAAGAAGATAGCACTTAATTCCCCTATTATCAGTATAAAATCTTATCTTATACTACACTTGCATAGTGAATCTTATGGGAGTCAGTACTGTAACTATATGTCTAAGCTACTCATCCTTTGCGTTTAGGTATACTTATGGTATATTTCAACTTTTTACATGTGGTACAGACATGCTGAGTGCTGTTGTCTGTTAATCGCATATTCTTAGGCCTAAAAATATGTTGCACTTATAGACAACCCATAAACTTAATTTACAAAATTGATTTCCAGTTTTGGAAGTTGTATAATTGTGCCTGGAATACCATGCCCTGTTGAATGTTATGACTGTGATAATAACAGTGATCCAGATGTGAAGTCTGCCAGACTGGCATGTTGGGGGAAAAAGCAGCCTGACTGTGCACAGCATACATGCCCCCTGGGAATAATACAGACATCTAGTGATTTATATGTCAGTTCTTTTTTTTCTTTTTTTTTAATGACATAGTATTAAAGAGTAGTGATTCATGAGGCTCTTTTCATTTCACATCGAAACTCTGACTTGTTTCAGGCTATAGTTTACACTTTCCAGTATGCTTAGTAATGATCCTACAATAACTTTCCCAGAATTTCAAATGCCAGCGTCTTTCTTTTTGAATTCTTGTCTGTAGATAATAGTCACAGCCCCTGTGCTCCAAATATTGATTCAGTGACGACAACGCCAGTTGGGCATAGATACCCTACGGTGCAGATCCTTCATAAGAAAAGTTGGCCCTGTGGTTGGTGCTTTTTTCCAACCAATAACAGTACAGCGTGGTAAGGAGAGTGACAGTTTGGGATTTTTTTTTATTTTTGGACAGCTAGTGGTAAAAGATAAGGGCAGAAAGCAAGGCAACCTATGAAATTTAGAAAGAGCATGTTGCACTGTTGGGGCCCAAATCTGAGCTGCACTGAATGTTATCACAAAGGTGGTTTGGATCCTTTAACCTCCTAGGACCTGGCGTCCACATATGTGGACATCACATTTTGGGTTATTTAGACCAAAATACTCAATTTTGCTCTACAAGGGCCTGATATCCACTTACGAGGACATTATACTGCTACTGTTCTATCAAATTTTTAAACGAATATCCTCATATGTGGCTCTTATTTTTCTTAAAAACAAAAATAAGGTAAAAAAAAAAGATCTGGTAATTCTTTGTATTTACGTTAATCGGGCCCCAATATGCCCAACTATCAAAGAGAAATTAAAAATGCATGCCGTGGAAGAGTTTGGGTCTTAGGAGGTTAAAAATTAACTTGATATTCCACCAGTTTCAAACAAATATCTCATCATAGTAGTATGTACTATAAACGTATGTGCTATGTGGTAGTCCTGTTATAAGAATTCTGTTGCTAAAGGGGCAACGTTAAGCATCTGTGGTGATTTGATGCAATACCTGTTACTCAAGGTAACCAAAATATTTCAACGAAAGATAGCAACTGTTGTTTTTACCCATCATATTTCTGCTTTGTTAAAACCCAGCCACATGGGGGCCACAAACATACCTCCTCTTGTCTGAAGAGTCGCAAACATGCAGATCATCGGTAAGAATTGTGATGTGTAGTGAGATTAGGTAATAGGTGAAAGAGAGCTGGGAGAGGTGGAGGTTTTCACCAGTGAGAAGAGGAAGAACAGGAGTACAAGCGCAACATTTCATGTGTCACAGTGAGAGGGAGACAGGTGGAAAGGTGAAGATGCAAGGAGAGAAAGAGATAGTGAAGGTAAGGTTGTTTATACACTAGGGGTTCACCATTCCAGAGAACAAGCAGTGCACAAGAGAGGTGAATAAGAGAGTGGAGGCAGGGTGGGGTGGGTGGAGACGAGTGTTTGCTGTGATTTGTGACAGAAAGACAGCAGCCAGAGTGAAAGGGAAGGTTTACAAGATATTAGTGAGACTTGCTATGATGTATGATTTGGAGACCGTGTCACTGAGAAAACAGGAGGCGGCAGCAGAATTGTATTCCTAAGATTTTCAGTGGTGAGAAAGTGGCAACCACTAAAGGGAGAGAAGAAGAAGATATTTGCCTTCTTTTACCCTTTTGAATTAATTGAAACTTTTATCCATAAAGACTAAATGCACTAAAATTAAAAATTCTTATATCTGTTTCTTATGTATGTGTTTGCACAGTGCAGATCTACACAGAAGCTTACAGGAAACTGAAGAAGACGGGTGAGGTTAAAGAGGACAGCACGATGGAAAAAACAAGAATGAAAGCAGCCAGTGATAAATATTAACTTTTGTGAAACATTTTGAGCATTTGCATCACTAAAAGTCCTCATATATAGCTCTTTGTCATTGCCTTAAACTGCTAGAATTTGATTTTAAAAATACGGGTATCATGTAGCGGTTCGAGTTAGAAGCTGGGAATATGCAATCACATCTGTAAGAGTTACATTTCGCAGCTCATTGTATCTCTGACTGCAAAATAAAGTTTGATAACAATCTGTTTTTGTGTTATTAATATGTTGTATGGAAATAAAGAAAAAAAAACAATGAAAGCACTTTTTAAATGCTTTTTTGTAAATCTGTTTTTTAAAAAAAACAATATGTCTGCACAAGGGCCTGTAATTAAAAGGGAAAAGAGCCTCAGTGTGGCATTTCCTGTATGCTATAGGAACATCACTGTGGATTTTATGTGAAACATTCAGAAGTGGTGGATGTCACAACAATCATAGCCACTAACCTGTGCTAGTCTGGTAAAACACGCTAAAAGCCCGTTGATGTCGAGTCCCTTACTGGGATGAAAGTCACTATTGTTTCTGTCTCTGTGCGCACGCCTGTGTTTTTGTGCGTGTGTGCACATGTGTGTTTGTCTGCCCTTACACTGATCTGAAGAGAAAGTAGTTTCAAAGGGAGCGACTCACATGTAATAACATGCACTCGGCAAGTGACAATCCACATGCACACACACACACAGGTGAAAGGTGACAAAATTCCGTCTTTATATCTTTACATTGCAAATTCTTTGTTGAACAGTGTATCTAGGAAAAGTTCCAACACAACAGTGTATTCACATATATACTCTCTATATATGTGCATTTTAACTCTCAAGAAGTAGCTTTTACAATTTAACCACAAGGGAACAAATACTACATTAAGAACATCTATTCATACAATATGTAAAACTCTGGAGAAGTATGTCCAGCACTGCAAAACATCTAAAGACTTCCACTTTCATCGTCACAACATAGATTATCAATGAATATTGCATTGTTTTGAGAAAAAAATCTAAAATAACATAAAGAACTTTAATGATCACTCAGGAGACTTGTGAAAATATGAAGCTTTACTTTTCATATGAGAATACCAGCAGTCTGGGAATGCTCAGAGGTACAGAATCAAGTGCCTCTTCCTCTGCTTTCAGAGAGAAAAGAGAGAAGAGAGGTAATTATTTTTCCTTCCACATCTGCATCTTAAAGCTCTTTAAATAGTTTAGAGTTCAGCAGCTCGCTACAGTATGCTGCGATAATGATGGTGGTGACTTTAGATGAAAAATATCTCACGTCTGTAATTTGATTTGAGTTTGATCGGAGGTGACTTTTAACTCATAGGGTAGGGAAACCTAGGCGTAGGCTTGCTTTTACAATATGCTTATTGACCAGTTCTTTATCCTCATAGGGCCAATATAAAAACAACAAGTTCATATCGCAGTACCAAATATGAAGTCAAAAATCCCTATACTATAAAATGCTGCAGCAGGCTCCTACTCAGCGCAGCGCCATGGCAACTCAACGTACAATTTTATGTCAATCCATCCAGAAGTTCTTTAGAGGTTCTTTAGCTACATCATCCTGTCCCATAACTCCACTGCCATGGCTAAAGAGTAGAAAAAAAGTGTTTTTATATAAGAATGTCCATTTTCAGCCAGCATAGAGCATGTGAAATACCAGAGCAGGGTTCGCTATAGGGACGAACTTCGAGGCCGACCTATCTTTCTCCTTCTATCTTTGCATGCGGTTACTAACACCAGCTTCCCTCGTCACATGCGACCCCCCGCCTCACTTGTTCACCCACCATATTTTCCACCTACAGTTTATCACACTTCCTCTTCTTCTGCTCAAGGCCCCTAGTCTGTCTGCCAGACAGGAAAAACAAAGACTTTGGGACTATCATTACGGTCCAAATGGTATATTACACTGTACCATTGAACGGTACCTCATTGAATATTCAGTAGTGTTACACAGTATCTATTTAAGAAAAACTAAAATAAATTCATTAGATACTTAGGAAGTTATGGACATAATTTAAGTTAGCTTTCATCTGTGTCCTCATTCATGCAAACTGGTATTTGAAACACGAGCTGTGCTTTAAACTTTAATTTAATTTGGTAAAGAGCCGAGAAACACAGCCGACTTATTAGATGAACACACGTACAAGCACGCATGTTTAACTGCACGCAAGGTGTCAGTTGAATTGCTGTCCTTGTTTCACAGTTTCAGGCCAAGAATGAAACTATTTGAGGACAAAACTCACTAATGTTTAAATTACATGCTTGACATCAAATAATTATCAAATAAAATAAGTAGGGCAACAGCTATATTTACCCTATCACATGAATTTATTCCAAAACCGGAATGATTTTATTGAAGTTTTATGTTTTGTTGGTCAATACCTCTCACTACGTAATTGCAATTTATTAATTAATTTAAAAAAATGTCACCAGTACATATTTTCAGGCTTAAATAATTGTAAGAGACAATTAAGTGTGTAATAGTATATTATGACTGCTATGTCCAATTAATTGCTGGAATGTATCTTTTTCCACTTGTTAGCTGCCATGACTGTTTTTTTTCCCTCTTATGTACCTCAGCCAGGATGTGCACAAGTCTGCCAGCCGTTAACCCCACAGAGGAAGTGTGCAGGAAATGAGATCAGCCTTAAACAGAGGTAACGCCTAAGCCTGAACCACTGACACCAGACCAATAACTGTCACTCATTGCACCTGATGCAGAGATACTAAAAATGTAGCAAATAACAGGAAAGTAACAGAAAGTAACAGTAACAGAACAGAACAGAAACGATCAACACAGCAGAGCCATCAAAGAGAAAAGCAAATCATATGAAAGAAAACTAGAACTGAACTTAAAGAAGGCATGGGCTTGAAAAGACAATGAGATCAGATCAAATTTAGCAGAAGAGAACAGAGAAAAGAAAGATGTGCAGCTTTTAGAATCACACATATTCTGGTAAAAAAGATAACAGTGTTAAAGTTAGGCTGAATCTATGCGTGACCAAGACTACATTGTTGCATTTTGCTTTACAAGGCAACAGAATAGACTAAAACATTACAGCCAAGACCACATTAAAACGAAACAGCCCCATGATGCTCAGAAGAAAGAAGAAAATTACTTGTATTAACTTTTAGATATAATATATTTGGAAAATATGATGTTTCAATAGCTAAAAATACCAATTCTGTGGGCAAACTCATACAGTAACTGCTGCTACGGCCTGTACGTATTCTTGTTACCATGATGAAAAACACATTTCGAAACTTCACAGAGGAAACCAGGCCTGGCAGTACTGTGTGCGCACATGTGGATGTGAGTATATGTTGTGCATTTCTATACACTGATCTCAGCACGCACATCAGTGCACATCAGAATGAAAAAGAAAACACTGCATTTTTTTTTCATTGAGCGCACAGACAGGAAGAAGGAGCAACCATGTACACTATATCCAAGCACAACAACTTTTTTTTCTCCTTGAGGTGCAATACACAACTGCAGTTAGCAGAAACCTGCTTTGTTATGCTAAGTTTATGTTCTATTTTCATTAAACCCCTGCATAAATTTGTCAGTTTTTTTAAAGTGCCCGAATATATACAAACTGAATATGACGTAGAGAAACTGTTCGTACGGCTGCTGGCCACACTGTTGTGATGGGTGCTTCCTCCAAACAAGCATGCATGGCTTCGCTGGGATGCTCAATCTTGGCTCGGCAGCCCTTGAAAATGGAGCTCCCGTTGAACGCTACCACCAAGTGCAAAGTTTGCGCAGTTATTTGATTTTTGAATGCAAAAGGTGTTAAACCAGTTGAAATTCATCGCCACTTGACAGAAGTGTATGGACAATCATGCATAGATGTGAAAAAGGTTTGTTCCCTAAGTTGAAAGAGCATTTGTCCGGAAGGCGATTCTGCTCCGACGAAGAGGTCAAAGATGACGTTCAATGCTTACTGAAGGACATGGCAGCAAGCTGGTATGACATGGGCATTCTAAAACTGCCACAGCATCTACAAAAATGCTTCGACCGAAATGGTGATTATGTAGAAAAGAAAATAATTCTTCAGCCTTAAAAATCATGTAGATATTATAGAAAGTAAACAGAGTGATTTTCTAACGAAGACCTTGCTTTTGGGATTCCCTTCGTATATCAGAGACTCTGCAGTTGTCAATCACTTTCTTATTTACTTCATAACTTAGTTGCTTGAACTGCTCACCGATCCATCTGCTTGACCGTGTAGTGGCGCATGTTTGAATATTTGTTGAAGAGCAGCTTTTGTATTAAAGCCACTCTTTTCGAATAAAAGATACCAGATAAGTAATGTATGCATGACCCTTTACTCAAACATAATGAGGTCCATTTTGTACTTAAGGGCCATTAAAAGTACTTAGTAAAATTTAGAAATGTTAATCTCTGTCTGCAGATGGGACTCTTTGTCAGACAGAAACTTGCCTCGATGAAAAAATAGCCAAATGCAGCAGGAGTTATGAATAATAATAGTGTAACAAAAATAATACTAATGTTTCATAGCTGTGAACTGTCACCTGACCGAAAAATATAATTAACATATGGTGATCTTCAAGGCTTTGTAACACATTACGTGATTCAATGAGTGACTGATGAAGCGGGTAAATATACGAACAAATAAATGAATAGGTAATGAAATGATTAATTATTTAATTAGTTAAACAAACCAAGCAAGCGTCAGACACTAACAATGCTCAAAAGCATCATTATCATACCTGCATAATCACACCCTTGCACAAAATGTCACACGGTTTTAACACCATTTTAAACCTATTTATGTACTTTTAACCACGCACACCTAAATCCCACTTTGCATACTTTATTGGCAGGCACTTCTCAGAAAACACACAGAACATGTGAACTCTTGGTTCTTAAATGACTATCACTTTGCTCCGCTCTTTATAAATGTCATGTTGTTGTCAAATTAAGATATTTATTTAAGACATACCAGTCTACATCCTACAGTTTACCTTTAGAAGCAGCCCTGCTAGTGTGGAATCACTGATAGTTAAAGATTTCTAAAGGGACTAAAACCAAGGCTACAATTAATCAGAGATTCTCTGTTAGATCAAGACTTTATCTCCACTGGAAAATCAACCCCTGCTCCTACACATCAGTCTGATAGAAGAGTAGCTGGAAGACAATCAGGAAGAAACGGCATAGAACAAATTATAGGGCCATGGGTGTGACAGAGCATTGCATTCCAGAGGCAGACTCTACACTGTATAATTCTCTGGAAGTGAATCAGTCTAATATTGTGATCCCAAATATCCACTGTCGCAATTCTTGACATGATGTCTGCTGCCATGTGCAAATGCCCTGACATATGTAGGGCCATGAGTGAGCGTAAGAAGGGTATCGTGAAGCATGTAGCTTTACGTTTTTTTGAAAACCAGTGGCTTTCAGTAATAGCCTGCCCCACTTCATTACCATCAACATTATCCAGATATATTTTTTGGTGTGTGTCCTGAGGTATAAAACAAGGCTTCCTTTTACCCATTTGGAAACCAAGAACTCGGCTTCCCTCTAATGAAGGCTGAAGAAAAAAGGTGTACAGGGAAGAGGATAAAGACTGAAGAAGTTAAAATGTAGAACAACGTTACTGTTTGACCGATGTGTGCTTGTGGTGGTCATCAGGGTCATCATGATGAAATGCGGTGGTCAAACAATGAAGCTGTTCCAATTAGCAAAAAGTATTGCTGCATCTATAACAGTTTATTAAGGTTATTGTTAAAGCATGCGTTTAAACAGTTTGGCTCACTGATATCGACGTCTCTTTTTCAAGCGAGTGTTTACACATAAACACAAGACATATACAGTTTAGGAGTAGAAGGATGGGCAGACAGAAATAATGTAGCGTCACAGGTTTTTGTAGCTTATTCAATTTCTAGGCACCATATTATTTTAAATACAGTTTTACGAAGTACCGTGTGACTAAGAGGCACAGCTAATTTTAAAATGTCTTGCAACCTGACATCGAAAGCACTGTAGTTAAATTTAATCAAAGGGCCGGGGCAACCAGTCAGGTTTTGTAAATAAACACCTTACAAAGGTGCTCTCTCTCACTAGCCAAGTATGACCATGCCACTTTGCCATGTAACCTGGTGGGAAAAGCAACATCACCTTTGATAAACTGCAATTAACTGTGACACGCAGAATCAAATGGCTACAGGGTAGATGGAGATAAGTCTGAATAGTCATATTAAGTGTAATGTAATAAAAGGCAGTTTAAAAATAAATAAAAATCACAAAAAGTGACTGCTGACTAAGAAAAACAAATCATGATCCTTAGCTTAGTGTCCAAATCTTTTTTTATCTTTTCCAAAACATTAAAATACTGCTATCTTGGACACTTACAGGATAGTTGGACACTTGTAGGTAGTTAAGTCTTAACAAAATAATATTTGTCTCAGATTAACAAGTGAAATAGAACTGTAATATGTTGATAGGATGAAAGCCTTAGCCGCCTCAGTAGCTCCCTGGATCAAGAGACTGTATTCTCAGAATTCTATTAACAAGTTGATCGCTTTGTTTTGTAAGCTGGCCATCTGCAACCCTGCAATACCTGTTAGGGCAGGTGACTTCACCAAGAAAGGAGCAGGAGAGAGAAACTATTCAAGTGAGGTCTTGCTCCACCAGAGGGAGAAAACCACGGGCAATATATATGCTCCTTGTGTATGTAAAAAAAACATATTTGATACTAAAGTCGGGCAGAAGAGATTCCTCCAGTGTGGGGCACACATCTGCACTCTCCTTAAAATTAAAGGTAGCATCCACAAGGTTTTTCACACGTCTCATTTTTACTTAGAGGAAAGACAGTCGCTACATCTACATCCTCCTCATGTTTTTCCCCCTGTTTCAGTCCTAGAGTGGCAGTATGTGATGGACTGTGGAAGCACTTTTCTCTTCCTAGTGTGACCGTTTCAATCCTTTTAATTTACCCTGAGTACTAAAAAGTGGAAGCTGAACCATGATTGCTGATTATTCACCTGGACTGTATTCTGTATTCAGTATATTGTTTTCCCAAACAGGGCAAAAACTTATCATGATCATCTTTACATGGCACAAAAATAGCACAAGGATGTCCCTAGTGGCGTGCCATACTTCATCTGCTATTACTCTTGTAAAGACAGGGACCGGCAGCAGAAAGGAAGCGCTCACCTCTTTGTCTGATGCAAACACGACTAGCTTTGTGGAATTAACATATCTCAGCGAGACACATATTCAGTATTGAATATGTTTGTTGGTGACTGCAAGCAATAGGCTACCCCTCAGGGGCATAGAGGCATCAACTACCTGAGGCTTGTAGGGTCCTTTGTTCTGATTTTGCTTATACTCTTATACAGTAATAGGACAGAGATGTCAACTTTACCGAGCTGGAATACAGTTATTTCAATTGCTGCTAGCTGGCTTATAATGTCTATACTCCAGCAAGAGTCCCCCTCTGCATGTAAGTTCACGAAATTGCAAGCAGTACAGTTGTAAAGGGAATCACATCCATCATAGCCAGAAGTGAAAATCCAGAGCAAGTGAAACAATTCAGGATCTCTGACAGATACGTCAACAGTAAAACATACAGCATGACTGCGCAAACATACAGAAATATCAACACTTACATATGCAATATGATACACAGCAGAGGGAGTCTATGACAGAAAAAAGTATTAAATGACAAAGAACATATTCTATGAATCTTTAAAAAGCTATTATCAGTATCTTATTATATGTATACAGCGTATATATTTACATAAAATATGCCTTCTAAATGTCATTTGCGCAGCATACTCTACTGTTTCATTTGTTCTAGGAAACAAGGGCAAACTAATTTAGCAAAACAGAGTCGGCTGGCTGATGCAACACAGTGAAATTTTAGGAGCAATCATGCACAATGAACCACTTCTGTCAGACCACCTATCGAGCTGCATGTGTGTGCTTGTGCATGTGTGTGTACAAATCAGTGTCAATATTTTTGTGTACTGTATGTGTGTAGGTGTCTAAGTGTGCACCTGTCACTAATGTACATAAGAAATTCATGTCTTCTCTGTTCTCCACTCCTACAGTGCAGCCTGAAGGCAATTTTCATCACTACCTCATGCAACTGCAGGTATCTATTGTGGCCTGTTCCTAGTATCTTGCTGAAGTTTTGGCTGTAGGTGATATGATCCGAAAATCCCTCCACTTGAGCTGTGCCATGTAATTTAAACTGAAATCCATAATAAGTCTGCTCAGAACAGTGCTACTGTTGTGGCTTATTTGTCACTGTTGTAGGTGAAAACTGCTATTATTTTTGTGTATTTATCCATCCATCCATCCGAGGAAGAGAGAGTCTGCCAAGACTCATGTCCAGACCCATATAAGAGGCATGAAAATAAATAAATAAAGGCTTGGAACTGACTTGACGTCAGATCTAAGCACAGCAGGCCATTTATTTTTTAAAGGTGCATGGTTAGATTTGGAAATGGGTGTATCACAATCTAAAGTGCAATCTTTGTAAAATAGTTTGGTTCCCAAATTTTACCAAACAGCAAGTGAAAGCAAAAGTACACAAATTAAGGATGAAAAAAAAAAGTGCCCGATGAGAGGAGCCAAAACAGAGTCAGCAAAAAATGTATAACACAAATGATTTTTGTGTCTTGATAGACATGACATGGATTCTAACTTGAGCTATGGGTTGCTTTTACAACAGCATCAGATCAATCATAACCCATTTTTAACACTTCTAGGGTACATTTGATCTGTTTCTCAACCTGAAAAGCCTGGCTCAGTTTAATCTAGTTCAGCCTCCCTCTTTCTCTCAGTTTCTCAGCTCCATTCCAGCTCCTCTCTGGGAGTTGATCACCCTTTGGCTACTCTACTTGATTTCTTCCATGACTCTATACTTTTCTAACCGCTTCCTGATTGCCTCGCTCTTGACCTTTATATAAAGATGAAGCTGAACATGAAACTCTGCATGCCCACAGATTAACCCCCTAAGTAACTTGAAATATTGGAGACTTAGCTAATAAACAAATGCATTAGGAACAGGGTACCATACAAATGTTGTGGTCCACTGAATTTTATGACATCTTCAACATAAAAATGTGGATGACATTATATTTAATGTTTCTAATTTGAGCTTGGTTCATTCTGCCTTTTTCCTTTGTCTCCTGTAATGGCTAAAGATCAGCATTTTTTCATTTAGTATGATGAAATCATTCAACAATGAAATATCACTGAGCTTTTTAACAATACAGCTGCAATACAATCTATGTCTAAATATATGTAGTTAAAAACCATTTAAATAGAATGATGATGCAAATGTTATGTAATGTTATGTTTGCATAACTAGAGTACTTTAATACAATATTATATTTGTCTAACACGTAAAAAACAACCAGACAGTTTTTAATTATTCCACCGTGTCTCTTTGTCCTGTCTTGCTCCCCATCACCCCCAACCAGTCCTATCAAATGGCTCCCAATCCCTGAGCCCCAGGAAAGTGAGTTTTGTCTTCCCACTGTCACCAAAGCGCTTGCTCATAGGAGGTCAAACGATTGTTGGAATATCTCTGTTTTCTCTAGATTCTCTGTTTTCTCTGTAGTATTGTATGATCTTTACCTTACAATATAAAATGCCCCGAGGCAGCTGCTGTGATTTGGTGCTATATCAATAAAATTTAATGTAATTGCTTTATTTATAAAATGATTTGCTATCTACAAAGTAAAATGTCAGCTATTTAGTCTGTGGTATACTGATG